GTCGCAGCTATATGAAAGAGGGCATGAGGACTAGCGTTGAAGGGATTCTGCTGGTATGATAATTTTCGATCCATTCTACTAGTTATTTTACTTGTCTGTTGTTTTCTCTATGTTGTTTAATTGCATACTGTTTTAGATCCGGTGGAAAAGTTATGTTGTTCACAAGTTGTATGGCCATATTGTCATATACATAATACTACTGAAATGTCAACATATTTGAACTTTCTCTTAGCATTCTTTGTAAAGATGCTTCTCTACCAAATTATTATTTGAATTGGGGCATAAATATATAAGTTTCTGATATATGACTGCAGTCATCTACTTCTTTTTCTATTGCCATCTCTAACTCAATTTTGTACTGTTTGGGTAACCTTATATTTCGAAGACGCTCTAATCACATGAATGGATTAAACTGCTCCTAATAAAGTCATAAGCTTTATGGATCTAATAAAACTTTAGTAAACCGCACTTAATGAAGTCATAAAAATGAAGTTATAGTAAATCACAGGTTTTGAACGGCATTAAGCAGACATATTTGATGCATCTGCCTGTTTGATTTTTTTAGTTGTTTGTATGCACCCTTTCCCTCTACACTTTCATGTTTATCATCTGCTTCACATTCACTGCCTCATCTCTTGAGGTCGTGTTGGAAACATAAGATGTTGTTGTGACATCCTAAAAGTCAATCTTATTAACCTATAACCCACAGCTAAAGCTATCTCGTTGGTGTATAATTTAAGCAGATAATTTGACATTAGTAACATCTCTCTAGCCCTAGGATTCTTCTTGACGCCTTATGCTGATCAATCTTTCAGGTACAAGAACATAACCATCCTCATATACTTCTCCTGCAAATTGGTAACACATTCTGCAAACTTCCAGGTGGACGCCTGAAGCCTGGAGAGAATGGTATACAGTGACCTTCAACCAAGTTATACTTTCTACACTGTTGTGAGTTACTTGGTTGCTTAAGTTTTGGGTGTACTATGTTGTGTCTGCAGAAGTTGAAGGCCTGAAAAGAAAATTGACCAGTAAGCTTGGAGGCAATTCGGCTGCTCTTGTACCTGACTGGAAGGTACTACCCTGGTTTTTGCCCTATTATGTTTTACTGTTGGTGACCAGAGATTTAGGTATAGATAGATGCCTTACAAGAACTAGGTCGGTGTAACATGTGCTTGCTCTTAATGGAAACGGAAGAAAGAAGACAATGCCATGAGTACATGTCTGATTGCGTTACATGTATAGCTCTGTCCTGATCCGTTATGGGTTTCCCTCTTTAATAGGTAGGAGAATGTGTTGCGACATGGTGGCGTCCAAACTTTGAAACCATGATGTACCCGTATTGTCCTCCTCACATCACAAAACCAAAGGTAGTAAAAGAGAACACAACGTAGCTACTCAACTTTCCTCTTTTACTCTTCTCCTTATATCTTCTTTTTGTGATATGGCAGGAATGCAAGAGACTTTTCATTGTTCACTTGTCTGAGAAAGAGTACTTTGCTGTGCCCAAAAACTTGAAACTCTTGGCCGTCCCTTTGTTCGAGCTCTATGACAATGTTCAGGTTTTGCTTATATCCAGATACAGTTAACCTTTGGCTAATGGGTTTTACCACAGAGTTCTAACCATATGATCTTTTCCTGTAACAGAGATATGGACCAGTTATATCGACAATTCCGCAACAGCTATCCAGATTCCATTTCAACATGATTAGTTCGTGATTCTGCTCGGTGTGTTGGAGAGCAAGAAAACGTATCATCAGATGGTGAGTTACTTAGGTACGGTAGAGAGCTGTAGCTACCGGTTTAGAGATGTGATTTTTGGATGATGCTCGTGGGATTATTTAAAATTATAGACTTGTTGGATTTTATGTAGAACTGGTTCTAAGTTTCAGCACAAGAGATTAAAAAAAAAAAAAAAAGATTATTGTATCTCGTTACTGAAAAGTCTGAAAGCATTCGTCATTATTTGACTAACGCCTGTCTTGTCTTTCGTTCAATGTTAAATGATATTCCTATTTTGGCGCTATGTGTATGAAAAATGAAACATAAACTTGGCCATGTTCAAATTACTTTGTTGGTCTACGAAATACAAGTAGGTATCTAAGAGAAGACAAATATATTACTTATTTTTATATCACACCATGTCACAAAGTCGAAGTGGAGACGTTTTGTGGATAAACATCTAAAGTAATAATTCTAATCGAATCAAAAAGACTGACCACAAAATATTCTCCGATGGCTAAAACATTAGCTCATTCGTGTTACATTGGCGATAAGTTTGACGGCAAATTATATTATGCGGTCAAGACGACCAAAGACAAGATAGTCACTTCTTCTTTTTTTTATTCGTTTCTGATCTCTCAGTTTTCTCTACTCATCATTTTCCACAGGCCAATGGAGCCAACAAGTAAAAGACAAAATCAGAGTATATATTAAAATTACGACAGGCCATTTCGATCGGGACAGAAGGAATTCATATTGTTGAAGTTAACAAATACCGTATTCCTCAATAAAAACTCTTATTGTTTGGTCCACTTGTCTTGTCCAATGTAATATTTTTAGTTTTGTAATTAAAAACATCGTGAGAGGAAAAGAAATATCCAATGATGGATTAACTAGTAGCAGCAAATAGGAGCTCAATGTTGACTTCACTACATATATATTTATAATTCATAAAAGACAAAGAAAAACAAGCTCACAAAATCATATAATTATTATTTCGACTACTAATTAGTTTAGCAAATGCAATTTGGCTGCTTGCTATTGATGCTTTACGAAAAAGATTAACAGATTGGATGATTCTTTATAATCATTGTTTCATCATTATTCACAAATTATTGAATTGTATCAGACAGATTATTCCACCAGGATGATGAAGTTTATAACCAAAAAAACTCATTGACGCCATTTTTAATTTAAAAAGTCGGTCATATAAAATTCTTGCCGACACTAGCTTTGGATATGAAGATGTTACGTAATTAAAATCAAAATTCTCAAGGCACCGTCCTCTGTAATTGTTACTCCCATTTGATATATCGTGTAACATATTTTTTATAACAATGAAACAACCGAGTTATCCCATTTTGACGTTTATAAAACAAACTATTTAACTTAATATCATCTATTTTGTTTGGTATCTCGAGATCACGTCTCACGTGAATCTTCCATGCATCAATTAAGATTAATATCGTAATTCAGTTTTTGTGAACTCATCGCTTTGATATTCTTTTGCAACTATCTTTGTTTGTGTCTATAAATACTCCAATTATGTAGAAGAAACGAAGAATAACAAAAACAAAAGTTACAAAGATTCTTCTTCTTCTTCTTTCATGTACGTTGGACAATGTTTATTTTGAGTTGGAACCTTATAATTAAATCACTGTATATCAATAATTAATTTTTATCTAAGCAGACTTTTGCTACTACGCCTAATTAATGCTTTACATATTCCATTATGACTTTTCTCCCTCACTGCTTAATGGCTGATACAAATGCATACGATATTATTATTATATACACATAAAAAAAATTCACGCATAAATTAAATAAGTAACACAAAATTTTCACAAAAATACAATATACATTGTCCTATTTGTCTTTTACTCTAAGCAAGCCCATTTGGTCATTTCTTAACACTAAGTATGTAGGCTCTATCTGTAGACAGTTTGGTAATATATGTTGTCTCAATCAACATAATATTGAGACATGTTTTCTTGTATCAGGGAAAGCTTTAAGACGATAGAGTGATGGCGAAGACAAAATCTGGAGAGAAACAGAGGAAAGGGTTATGGTCACCTGAAGAAGACGAGAAGCTAAGGAGTTGTATCCTCTCTCATGGCCATTCTTGCTGGACTAATGTTCCCATCAAAGCTGGTCTCTCTCTCTCTCTCTCTTATTCATCTTCTTATTTACTAGTTGGTCGTCTACCAAATAAATCCTTACTTTAGTCAACTTTGATTTGATAGGGCTACAAAGGAATGGGAAGAGCTGCAGGTTAAGATGGATTAATTACCTAAGACCAGGTTTAAAGAGGGATATGATTAGTGCAGAAGAAGAAGAGACCATCTTGACGTTTCATTCTTCCTTGGGTAACAAGTAAGTGTACCCCTAAGACCTAACCTTGTTGTTTTAGCAGATGCTAAATATAGGGAGACTGATATGATTAGGTGTGTTTAGGTGGTCTCAAATCGCTAAATTCTTACCGGGAAGAACAGACAACGAGATAAAGAACTATTGGCATTCTCATTTGAAAAAGAGATGGCTCAAGTCTCACAACTTGCAACATCCAAAATCTATATCCTCTTCTTCTTCATCACTTGTTTCTTGTCAAAAAAGAAACCCGGAAACCTTGATCTCGAATCATGTAATTTCCTTCCAGAGACTTGTAGAGAACAAATCTTCATCTCCATCACAAGAAAGCAATGGAAATAATAACAGTCATCAATGTTCTTCTGCTCCTGAGTTTCCAAGGCTTTTCTTCAACGAATGGCTTTCTTCTTCTTCCGATCCCCAAGTCGATGATTCCTCTGTTTTTACAGACTCTAAGCACGACCAAGCTCCAAATGTCGAAAACAGTGTCTTAGATTATGAAGAAACGAGTGATGTTGATCAGTTCCATTACAACGAAACGATGATCAACAACAACAACTGGACTCTTAACGACGTCGTGTTTGGTTCCAAGTTTCAGAAGCATGAGTCTCAAAATTGATCACAGAGAGTCCTTAGATTGTAATTCTTCTGCTAAAATTCTTTTCTTCATCAACCGCGACGTAAAATTACTTCTAATGTACTGTAAATCAAATTTATAAGGGAAAACGAACACCATTTTTTTTTGTTGGGCTCAAAATGCTTTGACACCAGTACCGTATGAAGAAACACACACTGTACAAATTAGTGAACGTACTCGGGATTCCCCGTTACAAGTTGTTCTCGATGCTAGCTAAGTACAGTTACACACTGACTTAACGATAACGAACAACACTCTCTGGTAAATAGATAAGGAGAACACATGTGAACAGTAGCAGTATTGAACGATAAATAACTTACAAATTTTATCAAGATATTGAAGATTTTACACACCAGAAGTAGCAAAACACAAAGCTTTTAGCTACAAACGCATCATATATAAATGGAGTTTTGACAGTACAAGGGGCAATACAGATGTAAGTGGAAATGTAGAAAGTTTTTTTATATAGCAGAGTAGCTGTAGTCAACAGTATCATCATTGGGGGAGGAAGATGACGGAGACTTAGCAGAAGCAGTGAGTACCACAAAGGCACCAAACAGGATAGTGACAATGGCCGTGAAGTTTATGAGAAATGCTTCGGATCCATACTTGTCAAGCCCTCCATTCTCCAAGAAAGTCAGCTTTTCCAGAAACCCTAAAGCTGCATTCCCAACCGCAAGTATATAAGCAAATAGGCCGAGCATCGCGTGCCACGGAAGCAACCCGCTTCTCAGATTTGCTGATCCTCCTGGGAAGAAGAACACTATGAAGCTGTACACCCACTGCAAAGTCCAAAAACATGTGTGTTTATCTTTTTCTGCTCAGGAACAATGTATAGAAAAAGGTTAACCACCTTTCTACAGAGAAGCCATTTCCATAAATTGGACAGTCCAATAGCCTTTAAAAGTACTGAGATTTATTCACCTAGAGTAAGGTCAATTTTCCTCTATATAATGTTTTCTATGTTTTCTAGTTTCTGGATTCCTGCTTCAAGCAATATTTTGGTCATAAGTGTGCTTTTTTGCTGTTTGTGGTTGTTCAGTAACTAGACTATTAGAGACAAGTCTTACTCAGTCGTCTGATACAGAGAACTCAGAAACATAACTCAAGGGTCCTAATGGAAAACTTATCAGTAAGATTCCTATTTGAATAGATTAAATGTTTCATGGGAAAATAGTAGTCTAAGTAGCAAAAGGCCATGGAATATTTACCTGGAAGCCATAAAGGGAAATGACTCCAATACCAATCCAGGAATGGAGACTGTAGAGGTTCGGGATTCCACTTTCATTATGGTTCTTGAAGGCTGCACAGATGCCAAAGATCCCAAGAGCCAGAGCAATGGCATGGAGTATAAGGTGGATCAACTTCTTCACTGGTTTCTCCAGCGGAAGCGCTTTGTAACTTATAATGGCTGCGTTTCCAGTTTAAAAAAAAGGGAAACGGTTTATATGAAATGAAATGATGATCATCAACGGGACTAGTCAAGACTGAAATGAAAGTGATATCTTAATTTTTCTCGTTGTTCAACAAGTGTTTTTATCGTTACCTTCTCCTCCCAAGATTATAAATCCAATGAGCATCAGAACAGGATGCAGCTGGATCACACAAAGAAGGAAAATATATCAGAACACAAACACAGATTGCAAATAAGGTAGTGACACAAAAGATTACAATCTTAATGGAAAAAAACACAGGATTAAAGAAAACTGAAGAGAAGACCCTTAACTAAGGTGACTAAGATCATGTCGATTATTGGATGTTGCTAGTATCTTTCCCTCTTAACAAAAATAAAAATAAAATATGAACTTTTTTCTGAATGCCATCATTTAGACAAAACAAGAAGACCAAACATCATCTTCTGTACATTCATTCACACTAGAATAAACTGAACATGACCCCAAAAAACTTGGGACACACAAGAGGACTAATGCTTACTACAGTTATCTGACTAGTGATTAAAAGCCCCATTTCACAACCTAAACAGATATTAAGATAACAAGAGGATTCTCACCCACTTAGAACAGTACTGAGAAAGGGATAAAAAAAGCTTTACAGTCACCTAGACAAGATTGCCAAACTGAAGTATCGGAACTAGGATCATCAGGTGGATTTTGTAAAAGTACCCACAAAATCAGACAGATGACCAAGAGATACAGAAAGAGTCAACGCAGACGCGAGAGAGAGATAGAAAAGAGAGAGCTTTAAAATAAAGGGAATCAAAGAAGCATACATTGAAGATGAGATTCTTGTTAGTAGCTTCCCAGGCCAATCCACCTCTGTAACTAATACTCCAAACCAGCACCATAACCGCCGCGATTACCGCCAGCGCGTGTGCCACAAACGTCACCGCCATCGCGTTTATCCCGACACCCATAATAGCTTTTTCTGTAACCGTGTTTCTTCTTCTTGTCTTTTGTTCGATTAATCTAGAGGACTGGAACTTTAAAAAAGCTTCTAAACTAAGCAGCCTCTGAGAAGAAGACGACGACTCAATTCCCCAGTCCAGATCTTTCTTTTTCCTTTTACATTATCCATTTGTGGGCACTTCTTAGCAGACACGTGGGCCTCGCCCATCCCTTTTTGGTTTATCTATTTTCGTGGCAGTTTTGAACGCACGAATGATATTTTGCCACGTGGATATTGTGGTAGCTGCATCAATCCCTCCGCTTCGTGTCTGCTCCTCTACCACCAACCAAACCAAACCGTAAACCGCGATAGAGAGTCATAACTGGATCTTGTTTTCAGGCCCATATGGACATTCATATTGGACCAACCCACATAATTTGAACAAGGCACAATGCGGATATACTGATATCATTTCTTGTCGTCTTCGGGCATAGAGTAAGTACGATATGCTGTTTTTAATGTTGGAAAAACGGCACGTTGTTGGTACAGTAGTATGTGAAATAAAGTAAACCAAGTGAAAGTCAAAGTTTATTTTTGGGCCAGTATAACGTGGGCCTGCTTGTGAAAGAAGTTAGATCGACGGTTCTTCTCGGATAAAGATTAGGCGAAGAGAGCCACGTACACAATCATGAGCCAGATACGTGGCTTCATACGACACGTGGCTTCATACGACACGTGGCATTTCGTAACAGAATACAGAGGACACAGCCAAAGGTGGTTCTGCTGCATGAGTCTTCTTCGACTCTTTTTCTACTCTACCCTGTATAAAGCTTTTGAGAAGCTCTTCAGATTATCTCACAATCATTTTTTTATACAGAAAAAGGAAAAGAACAGAATCAAAGCCAGCAAAGATTATGGATTCACAAGCGCAGTTGCAACGTTCTCATGCTCATCATCAAGCAGAGGAGCCGATTAAAATTCACCATCCAGGTATGAGAAAGCAGGTTTTAGTCTCAATGTAATAACTTTTTCTTTTTTTTATAGACATTCCGAAATCTGGAAGTTAAAGAGCCTGATGAATGTTTTCAATGTGTTTACTCTGTTTTTGGATGCAGAGAAAGGAGAGCATCATGAGAAAGGACCATCGAAAGTTCTAAAGAAAGTGAAGGAAAAAGCAAAGAAGATCAAGAACGTTCTTACAAAACATGGACATAGTCATGAGCATGATTGTGGAGAGCACATCCCCGACGATCATGATCTAGACCAGGAAGACGATGGAGATAACTACGGAGACCAACAAATCCACGGCGGTGCACCAGGTTTGCGTCACTTTAATCTTTCTAATTCCAAACCAAAATAGTTAATGTTTTGGTGGTGATAACGGTTAGTCTAATTGGTCTCGGCAGCACGAGGAAAGGCTCACAATCCGGTGAAGGATGAGATAGTCCCTCCAGGCACAAAAGCTTTTCCAGTTTTGTCCTCTTCACATACGAAACACACTGAGCCAATAAGAGGAGTTGGGCACGAAGCACTATCTCATCCTGTAAAACACTCCGGCGTACCTAAAAAAGAAGAAATCAGAGGAACATCTACTTTGACGCCGCATAACACACCCGTCTCTCTGCTCTCTGCCACAGAAGATGTGACGAGAACTTTTGTACCTGGCGAAGACAAGTCTCGAGACCAACGTAGAGTTAACATCGAGCGACCAAGAGGACTTGAGCAAAATCCAGCTGCCCCGGGATCTCATGGTGGGATGTCGAATTATCAGTCCAAAGTCACTGATCCTACCGGAAAACGTAAGAACTTTTCTCCTAATTCTGTATTTCTGATTGGGTTATAAACTCTTTTGAGCTGAGTCTGCTTCTTTATCTAGCTTCTGGAGAAACTGGAGCAGCAACAACCGTCTCAGCTCTTGGAAGGTTAGGGTTAGGAACTGACTTGGGGAAGAAGAGCCATGGGTTTGATATGAAATCGGGACCTGAAATGGAGAAGCACTCACCGACCACCGGAAACTATGGATCTAGATTGCGGAAAGAGTCTCCGGAGAGGAGTGGTGAACTTGATTTGGGAAAAGATTTGCCGACGAGAACTCAAGGTGTAAGGAACCCCGAGGGTTTTGATTCGAAAGCTGAGGGGAGAGGAGATGAGATGCAGCAGTCGAATCAGAGCAGTTACACCGATAAGATCGCGTTAGCTACTTCAGTCGTAGCTGACAAAGCTGTAGCTGCTAAGAACGCCGTCGCTTCGAAGCTGGGTTACTCTGGTGAAGGCGGCGAGGGACATGAGAGTCGTGTAAAAGGAGACGAGACTCTTAGCTCCGGCGGTGGATATGGGAGTACGGTCGCAGGTATGGTGACTCCAGTTTACGAGAAGGTGAAAGAGACCGGAGCTAGTGTAATGACGAAATTGCCATTCTCCGGGACCGCTGGAACTGGTACGGAAACGGGACAAGATAAGGGCGTGTCGGCTAAAGAATATCTGACAGAAAAATTAAGTCCGGGAGAAGAAGACAAGGTTTTGTCAGAGGTGGTCACTGAAAAGCTTCATCTTGGAGGAGGCGGCGACACGGCGCCGGCGAAGAAAGGGATAGTGACACAATCGGAGGAGGTAGAGAAAAGGCTAGGAGGATTTAAAGATCCGAGCTCGGAAGCAGCAATGAAACACGGCGAAGCTTATGCGGAAGAAGGCCAAGGAGGGATGGCGGAGAAGCTGACTGGAGCTGTAACTTCTTGGCTCGCTGGAACGACGGAGGAAGTGACGCAAAAGTCTACAGAGTCTGTTCAAGACTCTTCACAGTCACTTGGCTCCACCGTTGGTAACGCCTCTTTCTGTTATAAATAGCGTTTTCAGCTGTTAGCGGTTGTGATGACTTTTTGATTTTGGTGTACAATGGTGTAGGGAAAAAAATGGGAATTTCGGGTTCTGGAGGAGATGAGGCAGGCCAACGAGGCGGCAATGGTGGTTCAGTGCCTTTGCAGAGGAGATTTCAACATTCTGAAAACTGAGATTTGCTTCTTTTTAAAAACGTATGGGTTTGTAATGGTTTCCATCTTAATGTGTTTTGTGGTTCGATCCCTGGTTTATTTTGATGTATCTACCTACTACTGCTAGCCATATAAAACCTATGTATAAGTTCTGTTAATTGCTAAAAATACGTCGACAGCAGGGTTCGAACCTGCGCGGGCGAAGCCCAACAGATTTCAAGTCTGTCTCCTTAACCACTCGGACATATCGACTTCTTTGTTTGCGCACTCCGTAGAGAACAAATATTTAGTAATTTATTTGAGAAGTTACACGACAAAGCTACATGGTTTCAACTTCTCTCTCAAAACGAAAGTAGAGAGAAAAAAATGTTTGAAAAATGAATAAAGACAGACAAGAACTCAGTTTTAACCAATAACATGGTAAATTTTTGCGTGAAAGATCAGGATCAGTGATAGAGATATAGATCACTGAACAAATTTAGAGAGCTCGGCTTTTGATAATGTCGAAGCTCATCTCGCTAGGGTCAGTGGCTTGTAACTCCACCTGAATGCCATCCAATTCTCTCTTGAATCTATCCTTAGAGCTTGCATACACCATCTTCATCCTCACCCTTGATGAGTCTGGTGACCTATGTATGTTTCATCATCCAAGTTTCAAGAACTAATCAAATTTAACGTAAATATGAATCAAGGAAGAGAGTGAAAGAAAAAAAAATGATTACCACGCAATGAAGAAGATTTTGCTCTTCTGGCAATTTTCAGCGGTGGTGAAGTCGAAATCGAAGACAGCATAGCGGCACTCATCCGCAGGGAGGGAAGCGGTGAAATCATCGTAAGTCTCTTCGGGGTTTCCTAACTTTTCGACCACCACTTGTTGCCCGTCTATCCTGAATACTATGAACCGATAGTTTCTTTTCGACTTTAGCTCCAGAAACTTGAGCTTGCACTCGTCCTCCACTGCCATCCCAGACGCCGCGTTCGCCTTTTCATTCACATAAATCAGGAAACATCAGTTCCAAGTTATCTAGTTTTCCGGTTACATTACTTATCCATACATGCAGACATTAATTCTAATCTTAGTCTAGATAACTGACTTATACATGACGCTAGCTACTTGTGATTTAAAATGAGATACACAAGACAAACTAACGAGAAACGCATACATCAATTAATGGTAAGATCAACATCTAAAAAGCATGATTCGATATATGAAAATTGCATCCAAAATCCATATTATTTTACAACTCAAAAACAGATATCCAAAATCAAAACTCGGATGCAATCATAAATTTGAATATCGTTGGATCTTTTGTCCCGACTATGATTGGGATAAAACCACATCGCATGCACGCTAGTAACGGCAACCCTACAAATTTATTTCAAGAATAATAGAAGAGATGAACAAACCATTGCTTTTGTCTTGTTTCAATGGTAAGTCTTGAGGAAGATGGCAAGATTTGTTGTTTTGTGTGAATATTGATTGTCCTATGAGAACGAAATGAAGGAAGAAGATGATTTCTCTTTTGTGAAGAAAAGATCGAGGGGAACTCAGACAACTAATTAAAGGCTTCTTAATATTGGTCTCTCTGATCTGTTTTTGTGATTACACCCACACGTTAGTTTTCTTTCTTTTCAAACCTTAAAATTCGCTTAACCATCCTTTTTTCAAGCAGTCTCCACTCTATTTTTAGCATCTAGGTGTGTATCCATACATTATCATACACATGTATGAGCATATCCTTATCTGTGTGAAATGCATACCAATATCTATCTTAATTTTTTGTCAACTCAAGGCAGTTCCGGTTCGTTTGGCGTCACTGTTCATACGTTGATCACATATTTTTAGCTCATTTTCATCTTTTTTTGTCTCCAATGATACAATAGAAAAGACTAATTCTAAGTACAGATATTAAATGAGAAAAAAAAAAAATTGGATTAACTTTTGAAACTTGAGCATTTTTTTAAATTGATACCCCAATTGATATATAGTATAATTTCAAAGGAGCTTATTATTAAACGATGTCGTCCCATCGAATCGGGGAATTTGTGAAATTGGGAAAGATGTTTCTCGTTTCAGCGATGTAACAGCAGAGTACCAGTGGGGAGCAATGGCTTGCTTTAGCCAAATCTTCCTTATTCTGATGACTATGATGTCTTCTTCGTCTTCTCCTTTCTGTTCCGGTGGAAGGTAAATTTCGAATTCCATCCTTTATGGCGATTATCATTTAAATTCCTTGTCGCTGTAACATGACGAATGAGATGTAAGAGATTTTGGACATGCGACATTGTTAAACAGTTTCGTAATTAGCTATAATGGTGTTTAAGTACCTCAAGTTTTCTTGTTTCTCTTTCTGCAAGTCGGAAGGAACTCCGAGACAAAGAAGATATGGGTAAGAGTGATACAGAGGCGAGTTATGTTTTAGGATCTAAATTTGTGGACCCGAGACGTGTTCTTCAACTTTCATGGCAACCAAGGTCAGGTACTTTTGACTTATTTATCTGCTTCAACCATCATTGATCTTTGCTCAATTTTTCTAGTTTTTATCTGAAGATTGTGATAGCCTGCACAATTATTAGTAGTAACATGTAAGATTATTATTTTGCAAGAGTTACTAATGTGTTGATAGATCTGGGGAGGTCTCAAACAATTTGGTATGTGCAGGGTGTTCCTTTACCGCGGGTTCTTGTCTGAGGAAGAGTGTGATCATCTGATATCTCTGGTAAATTTCCCATTCCTTCCGGTTTGAGCTGTAGTGATACATAGTTCTTTGTGTAATGGTTGATTATTTTCTGTAGAGGAAGGAAACTTCAGAGCTTAACTCAGGGGATGCTGTACATGTGCCGGTAACTTCTTAGTATTCTTGGAGTTTGTAAATACCTAAGCTTGATAGGAAGTATGATGTCATCTTCTTGAAACATTATGTGGTAAACTGTAAGATACATGCTTGTGCTTGTAGTTCTCTGTTACACATAAGTCCTCCCTATTGAGTCAACAGAGTTCCAGAGATGATGATTATTCACACCCTAATTTAGCAGTTTCTACCTTGGTTGCTCAAAATGGCCTTAATAATGTTATGATCCATTCCTTATTCTGGTATAAACTAGGATCCAATAGTTGCTGGTATTGAAGAAAAAATTGCTGCGTGGACTTTCCTCCCAAAAGGTATTGAATACTAACATTTTACTTATCTTGATTTTCAATCTATTGAAAGTTAATGGTTTCTCTCGGAAGGCCTCTTTTCTTGGCCAAACTGCTGGCTTATGTTTCTCTCTTGACGCACATGTTTCAGAAAACAGCGGCTCTATCAAGGTAAGAAGTTATACTTCTGAGGAGTCGGGGAAAAAGTTGGATTATTTTGGAGAGGAATCGAGCTCGGTATCTCGCTATGAATTTTTGCTGGCAACCGTCATTCTCTACCTCTCAAACACAAGTCAAGGTGGAGAGCTTCTGTTCCCAAATTCAGAGGTCAGTCTAAAAATATAACGTGAGAAGCAAAATGATCTGTTCGACACAACATAGAGAAGGTTAAAATTCATTTTTCTTCAGATGAAATCGAAAAAGAGTTGCTCAGAGACCGGCAGCAACATCTTAAGACCAGTGAAAGGAAACGCAGTTTTGTTCTTCACCAGACACTTGAATGCATCTTTGGATGAGACAAGCACTCATTTGAGATGCCCTGTGGTGAAAGGGGAACTGTTAGTGGCGAAGAAACTGATCTATGCAAAGAAACAAACAAGAAACGATGAGGAGAGTGGGGAATGCAGTGATGAAGATGACAGCTGTAGACAATGGGCTGAGCTTGGGGAGTGCAAGAAAAACCCAGTCTATATGATTGGCACTCCAGATTACTACGGTACTTGCAGAAAGAGTTGTAACGCTTGTTGATTCTTCAGTCTTAGGGACCATATATCTCAGCATAATGGAAATTGTTAAAACATTTTCAATACACTTGAGCTGTCTTTTTTATTATTTGTCATTATGATGGAATGTGAATATTCAATGGGCGTTGGGGTAATTAAATCCCTCTTGACTGACTTTAGATCTTCTTTAGTATGGATGTAGAGAATATTGACAAATCATCGAGAGAACTACCGAGTCTTTTCCTATGTTACAAATGTTTCTCAAATCGTAGGATTGGATCGTGCTTTTTCCAACGCTGCATTGTCCCAAGATAATACTGCACCCTTGAAATTGGCTGTATTACTAATATCTCTATCTCTCTATCAGATTCGAATTTCTGCAGTATATTCCCAACATACCAATATTTTTCCCTTTATAAACGGTATTTAATAGTTTTCATGTATAATAACATTATTCGAAAACGCATTTTCCTTCTAATACTATACGATATTCAAAAATATTGTACATATTTATACGACTATTGTTGGCAACTCAACCGGTGTACTACTAGTTGGCTACTAAAATATAAAATTGGGTTTTTCTTTTCCTTTGTCATAAGTTGAAACACTTTAGATGAAAATAGACTAAAATTTAACTTGTTTTAATCCCCATTATGATATAATCTGAAATTTTCCTAGTTAAAAGTATTGATAAATCAAAACTTAACTAGTTGAATATGTAGGGAAACATTGTAATTTGGTAATAGATTTTTATAAATATAGGATAAAAAAAAGAAAATAAAAGGAGAAATTGCAAAACTTACATCATTAGACCAACCAGATCTAGACAATTGTTCATGAATCATGTATATGTCTATCCCAGTGGCTTTATTTTATTTTTACACATTCAAAGGAAAAAAAATAATAATAAAGATAAAGATAAAGAAAATTCAGAGGAAAAAACTGTGTGTTTCACTGAAAATTTTAACAATTCCTTTGTAATTTAATTTATTTTTAATATCCTTGAACAAAAAATATTTGCTGGATTTTGTGAAATTTGAGAAGTCCCCCACACCACCAGGGTTGTTTTGTTTCCCCGGTACGCCTTTATAATTTCTTCCCACAGCTCTTTTGCCTCCTCCTCCCTCTCCCGAATTTTTCTCTCATTTTTTTCTTTCTCTCTTTTGCGTCCCATCACTTTCTCGGATTTTCTCGGCGACTTTCTTCCGTCCCAAGCTCTGCTTCGCTCCGTCTCCTCACCTCCTCCGAGGATCGCTCTTGATTCTTCTCTTCTCCTCTTCTCCGCCCGATCTGTTTACTGTTTTTTTTTTTGTTTTACTGGTACGTGATCGGACTTAACCTTTCTCTTCGCATTAAACCAACACTGAATCGATTTGAATCTGTTCGTTTGTGTATCATATCACTGTTGTGTTGATTAGATTTCATATCATACCGCGAATACTTTTACACTTGTGATTTCAATTTCGATTTTGCTCTCTGTTAGGTGTGGCATAGTCATGGAGGAATTTAGGCATCTGTGTTACTGATTCTGACGGCGATTGAATCAAATACTGTTCCGCCGTATGTAGTTGATTTTATGTTGTTGCTTAGGGAAGAATTAGGTTCAGTGTTTATCGATTTATCATTGGTGCTGTTGTTTATATGGATTTGTGTTTTTGTGAAATGCCTGTTGCAGTTTGAATACCATGGAGCTGGTGAAACAAGATGGAAATGATTCACTCGATATGCTCATCAGACGAGCGGTTGGAAAGGATCCTTTTCTTTCCTTCCCTAGACCTGAGAATAGCCCAGTCCAGCTTTTTCAACTTCTCCATACCTTAGAACGTCCAGGTATATGTCTCATTGTCTCTCATCTTATTGGATTTGACGTTGTCTCTGATCAAAATACTACTCCATCATTGGAATCTAGTGGATTGGGTCTTAGGAGAGGATGTATAGCTTTAGTCTTGAGAGATTTTATTGAGTTTTAAGATTTAAGTGATGCTTGAATACCATACTGCCTAGGGTATGGTACCTGGACTTTTTTTGATGTTCTTTTTTCGCTCCCAGGCTGGCCATTGCTGACTCCTTTGAAGATACAAATGCAGAAGTGTGAAAAATGCAGTAGGGAGTTTTGCTCTCCTGTGAACTTTAGAAGGCATAACCGCATGCATCGGCGTCAAAGAAAGCCTGAAAAGGTTTGCTTAGTCTGAACTTTACTAAGACTATCTTGTTTTCATCTTTCAAACTGTCTGAAGGTTGTGTTTTCATGTTTCCAGGATTCTGGCAAAGAGAGGGATGCACTGGGAGCCTTTTGGAACAAGGTAGTTTACCCTCTAGACTCTTTCTCACAGTACCAGTTTGATTGGTTATTTCATCAGGGACTGATCCTGTTCAATCTCTGTGGTTATTTTCAGCTTTCTGCAATTGATGCTAAGGAGATTCTCTCATTAAAGAGCATGATGCTGGAGGTAGTATAATTCGCTTTGATGCTTTCCTTTTCTTTCCAAAAAATATCTTCTTATCTTCACCCACTTATAATGCATGGTGAGCGTTGCATACGAGTGTGGCATATCATGTTCTTCAGTCTTCACAATTCTAATTTCATTCTTGTTTTTCAAATCTTGCATAAGGGTTTTGACCTATCAATGCCTATCATTTCTGTTCTTCATTAGTGCAAGGTGTGATCCCATAAATAAATGTTTCCTAGAATGCCATATGACTTCATCAGGATTATGGGGTTCGTTTCCAAATAAATACAATTTAACTAGAAATGCAAGAGCATTCTGCATCATGAACCTGTCTGCCTAATTAAAATGATTTGTAAAAATTTCTCATTATTTGGATTCTTGTAGGATGTTCCTGGGGCATCAGTTGAGTCAGGACTAATGTCACTTATCGAAAAACCAGGATACACTGCCCTGCCGCAATATTATTTAAGAGCTGGCTCTGGCATTTTGGTATGAATTTCATCTCTCTTGATGGCTTCTTTTAATTACTTTTCAAGATATAGTATCCTCAGTGTTCAACCTCATGGCTGATATACGTTCCTGTTTCTCCAGGATGTTCTCCAGTCTAGACCACCAAGGTTCCCAGTTTCTTCGCAGGAACTTTTTAGCATTCTCGATGATGCAAGTGAAAAAACATTCCTGTCTAACGAGGCTGCACCAATGCAAAAATACATTTTTGATGGGGAAATTGGAAAAAGTGTACTTGAGGCAAAAAATGTCATTGCTTGCGCAAGCTTCCTCCTGGAACAGCGATTGGTAAACCAAACTATCTAATACGAGAATTTTTCTTTGCTTGTATTTCTTGAATGTGATTTATTTTTGAATTCTTAATGCGTAGATCAAAGCATGGCTGGCTGACAAAGATGCAGAAGCTCTGAGGTGCCAAAATTTACTGGTTGAAGAGGAAGAAGCTGCTCAAAGAAGGTATGTGCTTATAATTGCAATGCGAGTTATATATTATAGCTAAATCCGCTTAAAAAAATGTTAAGTCTTATTTACTGATATTTTGTTCGGAGCAGACAAGCTGAGCTCTTGGAGAGGAAGAAGAGGAAGAAGCTAAGACAGAAAGAACAGAGAGAGAAGGAACAGAAAAAAGATGCTAAGGAAGTCGAGAGTACCACATCAGAGGAACAACAATATCCAGCTGAGTCATCAAGCCAGTTATCTGTAGCTTCTGATTCCGAGGCACAGAGACCAGATTCCATATCGATTGATGCTTCTTCATCCCTAGAGGACCCTCAAGTTTTGGAAACTAATAATGGGAGAAACGATGAATGTCAAGCGCCAATCGTTGATGATGATGGCTTTGCCAATGGCCAAAACATGGAAAGGCAAAATGGTCGTAGGTCGAATGGGTTCCATGCTAATCATGCACCAAAACTTGGAAACATGCGAAAGAATGGAATCAACAGAGACACTAGGGTCAATACAGCTAAAGTTTGGAGCCGAAAATTAGATAACCCCAGACTGATATCACAACATGCAGCAGTAACTCAGCTAGATCAAACAAGGAACGGCGACCTTCTGATTGGATCAGTGAGTTTAACAATCCAAAAAGGTAGTTTCAGCGGAGAGCATAACCAACCCAAATGCAGTGAAGCTGAAAGAAGAACAAAGACTGTTGAGGTGAAACCCATATCTGAGCAAGCAACTATAAAGATATGGAGACCAGTGAGCAGTCAGGGAAGGAAAGTTTCAGCAGTCCATGAAAACGCAGACAAAGAAGATAAAAATTCAAACCCAACTGCACCCGAAGTAAAGACCGCTCAACATCACATAAGCTTGCAGTTTAACAACCACAAAGCAAAGGCATTTCTTGCAGAGAGTAAAACTTCTTTTGACTTATCTTAATATAAACCCCATATCGTTTATTCTCAATATTTATTAATGTTATATACTGATGTGAATGAATGGCTTGTCAGGATGGAAAGAGGCAACCTCTGCAGAACATGTGACATTGGTTCTGTCTCAGGAAACATACATCTCGGGCAACAACACTCACGAATCCTCAAATGGTGTTATAAACGCAAGACCAAAGCCGAGGATGAAACCCGAAAAGGGAACGAAGGTAAAATATGTTCCAAAACAGAGGATTCCTTGAGAAACTTGAAAACAAAAGACTAGCTTGACTCTGGACCAGAGTATCATTCTTTTTAGGTATACCAAAAGTGCAGTTTTAGCGGGAGAGACAGATCTTTTCTTTTGCTTCTAGAGAGATTTTTCCCATTTAAAGAGTCTTCCATTCTTTTTTTTTTTCACTTCTCTATTCTCTATAGGAAGATATTGATTTGTTATTTTGTTGAACTTTTTTTGCCATGGAAATTTGAAACTTTGAAATGGGGTTCTTTGATTTTTTTTTGTGTAATAAATATTTTCCCAACACAGCGGCTCGTTGACACTCGGATACACATTTGAATTGCATTAGAGAGGAATTTAAGTTTATTATATATATTTAAGCAATATCAAGAACTGATACATTTTTTCTTTTGTCAATGATGAGTGTACTACCATAAAGAGTTAAGACTATTTTATAAGATTATCAGTACAAAGAGAGCAAAGACATCTACAATGAAAAGCTAAATATATATGTATAGTTGTTAGACCCCAATCTCTTACCATATCAGTGAATTTGCTTCCCATGTTAGAGGTAATGAAGAAGATTAAGGACATTTTTTTGGTAAATATGTCAAGTGAATCCAGACGACCGTAACACCGGAAAGAAAGTCCAGCTGTTTGCTGGACTATGATCACCTTTTCCGGCGACCTTCTCATTGGCCCACCACTCCGACCTAACTTTCTCTATCGTCTCTTCTTCAGTGTTATCAAACTTGAACTCTTTGCTTGAGCCTAACGAAAACGATCTTAGTTTCTGACTCTGTTCGCTCTCTGTTTCTCCCGACGTTTTACAACCGTTTGGTCTCAAGTGTTCCCCGCTCGCTCTTTCATGTGAACCGGATCGGTTAAGCTTGCTTGCAAGACAACGTGCAACATCTTCACCAGTCAACTCGAAAGAGACTCTGTGAGCAACCACGACAGCTTCATCATTATGCCTTGACGACCCGTGGTCTGAATTGGCTAAAGACGCAACCTCAGAGACCTGACTATCCAAAAGGCTGTCTTCAAGTGGCGTGAGAGCACCAGAAGCAATCTTTGAGCCCATTCCTCCACCACCATCAGGAGTTAGAGCACCTGAACCCAACCTTGAACCTTGACCAGCTGGTGTGATGGATCCAGAACCGAATCTTGATCCCCATTTACGCGCAGTGAAGTGCTCAAAACCGAGAAACTTTGGAGGTTCACCGATACGAAACTCAATGATGGAGCATTTCCCTGGGTAAGGAGAAGATGTACCAGAACCAGGGGAGATGAGATTACCTCCTGGACTTCCAGGATACACTTGATGAGACTTAAACTCGTAGTGCGCAGCTGAAAACTTGTGATTCATTCCCCCGCTACTGTTCCTCCTAGCCCGTTCAAGAGAAGACGTAAGTAACTGAGCAAAAGGCACTTCAGGAGAAGAAGGAGATTCAGGGGGTGGGGTGAAAGGCGCGGTGGATGGTTCAGTAGTGAAAGCAGAGAAGACAGGAGGAGTAACGGGTTGAGTCTCGTGAGCGTAAGGTCCAATAGCAAAGGCTGAAGGGGGTTCATTGACGAGTAGGGAACAACGTAGACGACAAGGATCGGGAGTATGTGAGACAGATGGAGGGCCTGATGGGAGAAAAGATGCAGGAGACGAAGGAGGAGCAATAAAAGGCATGAATATTGAAGTTGAATTGCTGCTAGAAGAGTTTTGGACCGGAGCCACCGCTACTCCGGATGCAGCCGGTTCAGGTGCAAGCACCGCGTGCCCTATCCGCTTATTGTTCTTCTTGGATCCAAAACACCAATACAAACTCCACCAGCTTCCCCATTTTTTCTTCTGAATTTTTCACAAGACATTTATAAAAAAATATTGAAAAATTAGCTAGAGAAGAGAGAATTAAATGTTTAATGCTTTAATCAAGCTTTATATTTATAAAACATGAAACTAAAAAAACACCATTTCATTGTTTAATTTCAAAATCATAGCTTCAGAACCAAAGTACTTTAATCAAAAGCATAATTAATTACGTCACGTAACACTTGCAAAACGGATCAAACATCCCAGAAATAAGTTTTTAAAAAACCAAAATTTTTCTCCACTTGGACATAAACCATTTACGTGTGAGCAATGAAAACATAAACTGTAATCATGATCCACCGTCAGAAACGTCAAGTTGAACAAACAACACTGATCTCTATAAAGTAGAAGAAAAAACAGAGAGGCAAATAGTACATGGAGGAGGGAGGAGGAGGGTTGTTGAAGACGAGAGTCGGCGGAGACGATGGCGGAAGCAGCGGCGGTAACAGTATCAACACTATTATTAACGCTCCTCATAACATCAAAGCTTTGCAACTTGTTCCCCCGACACCCACTTTACTTCGGGCGATCTCACAGCAAATAGCGAGAGCTAGTTAGAGAGCTTTTAATTTCCCCACAGGTAAACACAACACAATCAGTGAAGAAAGAATCGAAAGAAACCGTGAAAATGGAATATATATATATATATGGGAAGAAGAATGAGAGAATAAATATAAGCAAATAAAAAGAAAAGCTCTTTTTATTTATGGATGATGCCTTCTCTTCTCTCAGCTCTCAAAGGAGTCATCCATCTCTCTCACCGGTCGTTATCTTTTACAGTTTTCATTCAATTTCCCACGAATTTTTGCCACGTCATCCGAATTGACGGTTCGGACCCACGCGCTTCTCAATTTTATTTTTTTCTGTTTCCTCCCTTTTTAAAAAAAGAGTATTATTCGCAATTATTGTAACGTTTGTATATATTTTATAGAATGATGCTTATTGCTAAAAACAAATTATTGGAAAGGAACCAAATTATTTAAAAGGAGAAAAAAAAAAACACTTAAAAGAGGGGAGACTAGAGACAGTAACGCATGTATAAGAGACGACCCAACGCAATGCAGACAAATGGCCTTTTTATTATCCAAGGCAAAATTTGAGTGACCAAAAAAAAATAAAGAAATAAATATGAGGGATACCAAAAGTAGCCTTGGTGTTGGGAGTGTAATTACAGGGGGAAGCCACTCAGTAAAGGCTGGCGACGCGAAACTCGTGAGAGTGTCTCTGTCTGTCTGTCTTTTAAGATAAATGCGCCGCTCAGTCAGTTCTTCATTTCCTCGTGACCTGAGTGTTTCGGTTGGTCGGCGAGATCCTCGTGACTTTCTTACATTAGCTTTCATATTTGTACACAACATACATATAGTTATTGCTGATCAGGTCCTCTATGGAAATGGAATGATTACTTTAAAGCTAACTAAACTCTCTCTTTCTTTCTTTTTTCTGCTGCATGGTGTGAAATATCACGTCTCTCTATTAATTTACTCCACGGCTCCACGCAGGAGATGGACATTATATACCTTAGTTTACTTTCTTTGGAAAAGAGTCTTCGATTGGTAATTTTGAAAGAGACAGTTTTAATGTGCAAAACATCCTTAAAATTTACACAATTAGCTCTAGAATATTATCGACGTAAAAACTAAAAAGAGGTTCAATCAATTAGACATGTGAAAGTGAATCGTCATCAATTGAAAATAATAATAAAATATAAAAGTTAAAAGCTAGCTAGAGCCTAGAGACGATATTCTTCAGAATCAAATCAAACGGTTGTAAACAATCCTTATCACAATGGTTTAACAACTACTACAGCTTTTGATTTACTTAACATGCATACGACTAGTTGACTTTATATAATTGTTATTTGCTTTTTAATGTTATATACACTTACTTTGGTAATGGGCAGATCTTACTGCTAGTAGCCGCCATATATACTTTGGTAATGACAATATCTTCGAACGAACTTGGATCATGTACCAACTACTATGATTTTGTAGGGTTTGTGAATGATTAAACTAACAAAAGAATTGAGAGGGTGGTTTAGTCAATCTAATGTAACAAGTAAAATAAACACACCCAATGAAAAAAAAAAAAAAAACACACACACACACACCCAATGAAAAAAAAAAAAAAAACACACACACACACCCAATGAAAAAGGAGAGCATTGGTTCAATGGGCTTAAAAGAGCGCACGTGTGCATTAATGCATAATTTTCCTTGTATATTTTGCTTTTTGTTGTTGAGTTGCATAATGGACTTTTTACGTGTAGCCCTCGTGCGTGCCGCTGCGTGAGTACGAATGCGACCCTTTACCTTTCTTTGTTTGTCCCTTGAGAAGTAGTACGATAATCCCATTCTTAGATTATGTAGTCAAATATATCAATTAAGGAAGATTGTCTTTGAAGTAAATAATAATCGATAAATCACGTTTTGAATTTGATTTTCGAGATGTTCCTATAGAACTTTCATTCGCGCGGTTCCATCGTTATAGGGATGTAATAATTGGAATTCGGCGAGGAGTGACCAGTAAAGTATATATATATGAGGCTTGAGCACACCATAGAAACAAATTAAGGTAGAAGTCACTTAGAGGATAAAAAGCTGTTAATATTGACCAGATAACACTCTCAAGTCTCTCCTAATCGATATGGCAAAAAAGAAGAAGACCAACCGTAGCAATAATAAAACATGTGACGACTAAAATAGGTAGGAGGATTTCTCTTTATTTTACGAACTACAGATATCTACTCCCATCTTTTCTTTTTACTTTGATTTGGAAAACTACTTTTACGATTATTTGCCCTTTTACGATAGTGTGGAACTGTGGATTAGTAAGCACTCACTTATACTTAAAATCACCAACATAAAATCGGGTATGTGTTAAAAAAATTAAGTTGGAAATTAATTATTGATTATTGTATGTGTTACTGAACTATGCATTATATAATGAAACCATAAATAAAAGCTTATAGCATATCCAATCAAGTTAATCGACTGGTCAACTAAACAAGGCTTCACTTATCCACACCTCTATAGATGGAAAGTTTGATAAGTACATGTGAACAATGTAAGTCTCGCAATTTGTAGATAGATACGAAATGGAAATGGAATTGTACATTACATAGCTTGACAAATAGATACAAAAAAAAAAAAAAAAAGAAGAAGAAAGAAGGCATAAATGGAATATTAATAATAAAATCAATTGCACCTCCAAAATAAAGGTGGTCATCCACTAGGAGCCACACATGCTTATCTAGTAGACATTGAACATGATAAAAACACTAAAGTGCCAAAAATAAGTGGAATAATCAAATGAGAATCTTCTTCACTCATATATAAATAAAACATTTCGAGCCTATGACCTAGCTAGCTACTATACTACAACATGTACTGTATTGTATATGCCTCTCTCTATATATATATATATATATATATATATATATATTTAGATTGAAGCATAACCAATAATTTGACAATATAGAAATAAGTAGATTAGAATTTTACAAGTAGAGAAAAGATTAGAATGGTTGGTAGGGAGAGACTCAAAAAAGAAAAGAAAAAAAAGAGGATGGGGGGGGGGGGGGGGTTGGAAATGGGTCCGGTTTTTTCCCAAACATCCCACATGCACACTTCCCTCTCCTCCCGATCCATTTATTTCTTTCATTCTAATTTATCCATATTAATGATAAAACTAATCCTCATTGATTGTGATAGTGTAGTTTGTATTATTATTTATCTAGAATTGGTGTTTTCATATATATTGGACTTGGAGTATGACTTTTCTTTTAATTGAATGTGGACATGTTAAAACTCGCCGATCAGTTTGAGTTAATACGTCTACCAAGTCTCTTTACTTGGTTAGACTAAAGTGAGATCAGGTTTGAGTAATTGAACAAAAAACAAAAATGTTTACAGATCAAATTTTTTACCATTAGTGGATTTTTGTATGTTTTTAAGTGGACGTCGTATAAAACTCATTCCAACAAAAAAAAAATAAAAAAAATACATGATTTATATGGTTTTTGGTCCAACATGTGAGAACTTGCAAAATATTATGGCCCAGACAATGAGATTCAGGCCCATATATTTAGAAGTTCATTTATCACTGGGTTCCTTTTTTGTTTTCTTATTGGACCAAAGGTGGGGGGACATATAACAAAAGGTAAGAACTAGGACATATAGAGAGAGGTACTACTGAATGACAAAGGTAACGAATGAGAGTTAGAATTTACATACATACACTCTTGTTGTTGTCGTCAGGACGCATACATATATGTTTCTGTCAATCTGGTTCCGCCTCATCCAGTTCTCTCATCGCATGATGTCTACTCTGGTTAGTATTGTGTGTGTGTTGACTATCTTCACTCGTGAGCTCTCTAATCTATTTAGATTATAAAGTCATAACTCATCTCTTTTAAACAAACAAGTTTCCAAGCTACAAAATTAATCAGTTTTATTAATGCATGTGTCTTGGGGGTTCTATTCTCGAATTCGAAATATTCATTCATAATTCATATAATGTATGCTGCTCTACTTGGCAAAAAATTCTTCTAAGTGTACCATGTTTATTCAGATGCAACGCTATTGGGCTTTCCTTTTCTTGGGCTACAAATTCCATACACAAACTTTACAACATTATGTATTACAAATGGTACGAATGTTGAATTTTAAATAAGTTTATACCTAAAAAACATGAATACATTAGTATAAGGACCGATGCGTAAATAACGTAGTATATTTTTAAAACCCTGTAAAAACCCTAGCTTGAAACTCCTTGTATAAAACACTTGCGAGCGCAGCTTCTTTGTTATTTGGCATTCTCTCTCTCTTTGAAAGCTTCCTTCCTTGATTTTTGCAGTCTCCCGATTTTAACTCAAAGATGAGACCTCCTCTAACTGGTAAGAACCCTAGCCGCCTCTTGTCTTCTCTCTATTCTTTGTTTTTTAGATTCACAATGGCAGAGTTACACTCTGAGCTCGTTTAGACTAAACTCTTGTTGTGTGTAGCTGAACTGACTGTTAAGGTTGTTCCTTTTCGATTGGAACGCTCTCGGGTCTTTGCTAGTTGTTATAGGATTTGTGGTTTATAGTAGAGTATTTTTTTTGAGAACCTGCATAGAGTCTTTACTAAATGGTGTTTGTGTGTTCAGGAAGTGGTGGTTACAGTGGTGGAAGAGGTCGCGGTGGGTACAGTGGTGGGCGAGGTGATGGTGGTTTCAGTGGTGGACGAGGTGGGAGAGGAGGAAGAGGTTTCGGTGACCGTGGTGGTCGCAGCGCCGGCAGAGGAAGAGGCCGTGGCAGTGACCGTGGTCGCGGAGGCAGAGGACCAGGAGGCCGTGGAGGGATGAAAGGAGGAAGCAAAGTCATTGTAGAACCTCACAGACATGCAGGAGTGTTTATTGCAAAGGGTAAAGAAGATGCTCTTGTCACCAAGAACTTGGTCCCTGGTGAAGCTGTGTACAATGAGAAGAGAATCTCTGTTCAGGTATCTTGAATGATTGATTGATTGATGCTTTATTAGCCCTTCGTGGATGAATTCTTTCTTAATGGTTTTGTGATTGAATCTGCAGAATGAAGATGGAACTAAGGTTGAATATAGAGTTTGGAACCCTTTCCGTTCTAAGTTGGCAGCTGCTATTCTCGGTGGTGTTGACAACATCTGGATTGTAAGTCACTTGTTGTGTGAATCTTGTTGATGTTTCTGTTTGTCAGACTTAATTTATAAACTGATTGTTCTGTTCTAATGTAGAAACCTGGTGCTAAAGTTCTATACCTTGGTGCTGCTTCTGGAACCACAGTTTCTCATGTCTCTGATCTTGTTGGCCCTGTAAGCAAAACTCATCCTTTATGTAGTGATTAATCAGGATTTTAGATGTGTCATAGAGGTTCTTATATATTGGATTTGTGATCTGGTAGGAGGGATGTGTGTACGCTGTTGAGTTTTCTCACAGAAGTGGAAGAGATTTGGTGAACATGGCAAAGAAGAGAACCAATGTTATTCCAATCATTGAGGATGCTAGACACCCTGCTAAGTACAGAATGCTCGTAGGCATGGTTGATGTTATCTTCTCTGATGTTGCTCAGCCAGATCAGGTTTGGTTCTTTACAATGAATGGCTTTAAGATTTGTCTCAATGCCTTAACTAATAGCATTATATTCGTCCTTGGCTTAGAAATTGTTTTTCGATGATTGCATATGATGATCTTACTTGGATTCCCCTTCAGATCATTATGGGTGATGCAAACTCCAAGTTTCTGATGCTTAGAAATTTCTTGTTTCGGTTTTTGTTTTGTTTTTGAGCTAGTAACCAAAGTAAAATCCTTTAAGTATGGATTTTTTTTTCTCTTACAATTTCCTTTTTTTATCAAATACTATCTTAAAATTTTGAATCAGTCTTTATTTCTCGGGTTTTGGTTTTTCGGATGTATAACCTAGTTGTCCTGAGCTGTCTAAATGTCATTTAGCTTGCGAGTTGCATCTTATATATTTGTTGTTTATGAAGTTTTCTGTTCCCTTAAAACCGTGCAGGCTAGGATTGTGGCTTTGAATGCATCATACTTCCTCAAAACAGGAGGTCACTTTGTGATCTCAATCAAGGTCTGTAGCAATTTAAACCATTTAATCAATGGTACTTCAACAGAGAAGGATTAGTAAAACATGTATATGTCTCTCATTGTTTTGCAGGCAAACTGTATCGACTCAACAGTTCCAGCAGAAGCTGTGTTCCAGACGGAAGTGAAGAAGTTGCAAGCGGAGCAATTCAGGCCAGCTGAGCAAGTGACCCTTGAGCCATTCGAGCGTGATCACGCCTGTGTCGTTGGTGGCTACCGTATGCCTAAGAAGACCAAGGCCGCTACTGCTGCTTAGAAGTTGTTGTTTACGTTGCGTTTATCCCCAGTTCCTCAGATTTTTCTCTTTGTTTCGGTCTCTTTAGGATCTGTAGGATTTTTTTTTTATCTAAATTCGAGTTTTGTAATCATATTGAATTCTGTTTTTGGTTCATTTGGCTTCCAACGTTAACTTTTTCGACAAGTTTTGAATTATGGGAAATTTTTATAGAATTTTGTCGATTAGTAGTCCTCAATATGAAAATCGTTAGTGTGTTTGAGAAAGATTGAAGTAAATTGAAATCATTAAAAGAAAATTATTGTTGTTGAATACCCATAATTATATTAATAACGTTTTTCGTTTATTACATACAAAAATAATAATCAATATATTTCAAACTTTTCATGTCATGGCAGACATATGGTGCCATGAACAATTTCGTAGTTTATATTTTCTTATACACACTTTACAGCAAATATTTTTAATTTCGGAAAATGGAAAAAAGTTAAAAAAAAAAGAAAGAAAAAGGAAAACCCTAATAATTCGTAATTTATATTTTCTTATACACACTTTACAGCAAATCTATTTTATTTTGAGAAAACTAGAAAATAGGTTTTTTTAAAAAGAGGAAAAGATGGAAAAAAAGGAAAACCCTGAAACCGACCAAAAAAGAAAAACCCTGAAACAATATTTCCTTTTTCTATATGTTGTTTACACTATACAGCGAATCTTTTTAATTTTGAAAAAATGGGAAAAGGAGTTAAAAAAAAAGGAAAAGAAGGAAAAAAAAAGGAAAATCCCTAAAACGAAGATATGGGCTTAAGCCCAAACATGTTTGGACGACATCACCGCCTTTAACACCATCTGTCTCTATATAAGCAGTTCTCAGTTTCACAGTTGGGACATGGGATGCTTCTCCCTCTCCCTCTCCCTCTCCCTCTCCCTCTCGCCCTCGTTTTCCTTTTCTTTAGATTGTAAGCTTTGTGCTTAATCTTTAGATTATAAGCTTCGTGCTTCAAATTTGGGTTAACTTGCTGAACTGGGACAGCTTGTTTTGAAACTTCAATATCTCTGCTTAGATCTGTCTTTTTTTATTAAGGCTTTTCTAATCATGTCCCTATATTCAAATACTCTGCTATGGGAGGGGGATTCAATGTTCTGCTTATATTGATGGGAATTATAAGACTTGTTCTGTCCGATTCGGGAAGTCAATGATCTGCTTTATGCAGTGATCTGCTTATATTGATGGGAATAATAAGACTTGTTCTGTCCGATTCGGGAATTCAATGATCTGATATTGATGGGAATAATAAGACTTATTCTGTCCGATTCGGGAATTCAATGATCTGCTTTATGCATATACATATTATGCTGAGCCTATGATGGGTTGGAATAGATTCAAATACTCTGATGGAATTAATAAGATTTGTTCGATAATGTCCGATTCGGGAAAATTCAATTGTCTGCTTTATGCATATATATGCTCTGGGGGTTGGAAACTTAATGATCTTTAAAGATTCAAATACTCTCTGCTTATCTTGATGGAGAAAAAAAAGAGGTACCTTTATAAGGTTTATCTTAATGATGTTGGAGAGAAAACTCAATTATCTGGGCTAATGATGTTACATGGCTGGGACAAACATGGTTTATGCACTACTCTAACTTCAATACTCTGCTTGATACCTGTTCTATGGTATTCAATATTCTGCTTTTTGATGGAGATACTATGACTGTTCAGTGATGTCCTATTGGGGAAATACAATTGTATGCTTTATGCAGAATATATGCTCTGCTTAGATCTGGCGTTTGGTTAAGGCTTCTCTAATCATGTCCCTATATTCAATACTCTGTTATGGGATTTAATGTTCTGCTTTTTTGATGGGGATACTGGCTAATGCATATACATTTATGCTGTGATGGGTTGGAATATTCAAACACTCTGGGTATATTGATGGATAAAAGATTATGTCCCTTTGTAAGGGTTCTCTAATGATGTTCCAGAGATTGTGAAACACTGTTATCTGCTCTAATAAATCTCACATGCCTGGGAAAAAAATGGTCTAATCACTGCTGCTCTAATGATGTCCTGAAACATATTCAATACTCTGCTTAACCTATATGGTATTCAGTGTTCTGCTTTATGATGAAGATAATAAGATTCTGATTCGAGAATTCAAGTGGCTGCTTAATGCTTATATGCTCTGATGGGTGGAAGAGCTTGAGAGATTCAAATACTTTGCTTATATTGATGGAGAAAGAAAAAAAATTCCTTTATAAGGTTTCTCTTATGATGTTCCAGCGATTGTGAAACTCAATTATCTGCTCTAATAATAATCTTGCATGGCTGGGACAAACATGTTAGTTATATATCAGATATCTGCGATTGTGAAACTCAGTGTTCTGCATGATGATAATGGGAAAATGTCTTTTAGTAAGGCTTCTGCAATGATGTTCTCCATGGAAATCAATTGTCTGCTTAAAGTTGATACATATCTAGTGATGGGACTGAGACAGATGATAATTATTCATATTCTGCATATTGATGGAGTAAGAATGCCCTATTATGAAGTTTCTCTAGGAATGTTCATATGGGATTAATTCGATTGTCTGCTTGAAGTTTATATATTGTTGGGCTGAGACTAGATGATAATATATGGTGTAAGAGAACAAAAGTCCTTTAATGAGGCATGTCTGAATAATGTTCATAAAGAGAAAATTCAAATGTCTGCTTGAAGTTTATATTTGCCTACAGTAAATTGCATATCTTACTGAGCTGGGACATATACAGTTCAGTGATGCCCTAAGATTGAGAATTCAAGTGTCTGCAAACATCTATATAGATCTTGCTGGGAAGGGAACATAATTCAATATTCTGGATAATGATGAGAAATTATACCTTTAAATGGTATCTAAAGATTGGAAAGATTGCGTTCTTGCTTAATGCATATATAGATGCTGTATTGGGTTGGAAGAGCTTGAAAATATTCAAATACTCTGCTTATATTGATGGAGAAAAAAATGTCCCGTTTTAAGGTTTCTCTTATGATGTTGCAGAGATTGTGAAACACTGTTATCTGCTCTAATCAATCTCACGTGGCTGGGACGAACATTGGTTTACTCAGTGTTGTAATGATGTCCTGAATAAATTCATTACTCTGCTTAACCTATATGGTATTCATTATTCTGCTTTTTAATGGACATTATAAGACTCGTTCAATGATGATTGGGGGATTTAATTTGTCTGCTTAATGCATCTATGCTCTGATGGGTTGGAAGAGCTTGAGATATTCATATAGTCTGCTTGTTGATGGGGGTGGTAAGACATGTTTAATAATGGATGTTGCAGAGATTGTGAAACTAGTTACTGTCTGCTGATAAGTTTTTTCTCTGATATGAGAAATTCAATTGAATACTTAGTGTTCAAATAGCAAAACAGTATTCAGTGTACTGCATGATTATGGAGGAAAAATGTCTTTTAGTAAGGCTGATGTAATTGTGTTGGGGATGAGACAAGATGATAATTCATATTTTCTGCATATATTAATGTCCTTTAACAAAAGTTCAATTGTCTGCTTGAAATTTATATCTTATTGAGCTGAAACAAGATGATGCAATTCATATTATGCATAATCAATGGAGTAAAATTGTACTTGAACAAAGCTTCTCTAACAGTATATGATATGGGAAATTCAATAGTCTGCTTGAAGTTTATATCTCATTGGCTAAGGAAGATGATAATACACAGTGTCTCTTGATAGTGAACAACTGTCCTTTAATAAGGCTTCTCTGATATGTCAGCTTAAAGTTTATAGCTTGTTACATTGGTCTGAGCAAAGATGATACTAATATATAGTGTTTCTTGATAGAGAAAAAATGTCTTTTAATAGACATGGCTAGGCTTAATAATCTTCATAAAAGAAATTCAACTGTCTGCTTGAAATTTATATTCGTCTTCAGTATATCTTACTGAGCTGGGACATATACTATTCAATGATATCCCAAGATTAAGAATTCAAGTGTCTGCAAAAACCTATACATCTTGCTGGGGAGGGAACATAAAATTTAAGACTCTGCATAATGATGAGAATTAATGCTTCTAAATGGTATCTCAAATGCCCTCTAAATGGTATCTCAAGATTGGAAAGTTCACGTTCTGCTTAAAAAACTGTTCATGTTGGCTGGGACAGTGTGGTTATGCATATATACTGAGTAATGTCCCACAGTTTATGCCTAAACTATATTATGTTGGGCTGGGACAGCACAATTATCCAATGATATGCATAGATATGCTTTGAGCAAGGTGCTGAACAAGTCCCTAATTAAAAGATTCAAGCTTCTGCATAAACTAGATGTTGATGCATATTGATGGGCTCACGAAATGATGTCCTAAGATTGCGAAATTAAGTACATTTCTTAAACTTGGTATCTTGCTGGAATGGGACGTATATAACACTAAAGAGCTCATGCATAAAGTCTATAGTTTGTTGGGTTTGATACAATAAAATTCAGTGTTCTGCATGTTGATAGAGGAAAAAAGTATTTTACTAAGGCTTATGTGATGATGTTCATCTTGAAAATTCAATTGTCTGCTTAAAGTAGATACATATCTTGTTGGGTTGGGACAAGATGATAAAGTTCATATTCTGCATATCAATGGAGTAAAAATGTCCTTTTATAAGGCTTCTCTAGTAATGTTAATATGGGAAATTCAATTGTCTGGTTGAAGTTTATATCTTGTTGGGCTGAGCAAGATGATAGTCTCTTGATAGAGAACAAATGTCCTTTAATAATGGTGTCTCTTGATAGAGAACAAATGCCGTTTAATAAGACATGTATTTACAATGTGTTCATATGAGAAATTCAATCCTCTGCTTCCAGCTTATATGTGTCTTCAGTTATAGTATGATGTCCCACGATTGAAATAATTCGAGTGCCTGCAAAAGTCTATAGAACTTGCTGGGTTGGGAACATAATTCAATATTCTGCACAATGATGATGGGAAATTATGCCTTTCAATGGTGGTATCCCAAGATTTGAAAGTTAATGTTCATGCTTCAAAAATTGTTCATGATGGCTGGGACAGTGTGGTTATATATACAGTGAGGTTCTAAAGTTTCTGAAATTCAAGTTTCTGTATAAACTATTGATATTGTTAGGCTGGAACAACATGAGAAAGCACTCAAAAATGTCCCACTGTTCTTGAAGTTACAGTTATGCCTAAACTAGATATTGTTGGGCTAGGATT